TCCACAAGCATTATTGTAAATGTATTTTTTGCTGTGTTGAAGTAGATTGTGTAAGTCACTTATGGTTACTTTTGCTTTCAAGTGTTATTTAAGGAAAAAGTTTTGTAAAGATGGTAGTGGAACATGTATTTAGATACACAGAAGAGTCAGGTATAGTTATATAACTACTGTTTATATATGTTCAGTAAGAACTAATTGTGTAAATGTACACGTACTGATTATGTCAAAGGAACAAAAAAAATCACTTTGCTATAGCACTAAATGGTTACTTTTGCTTTCAAGTGTTATTTAAGGAAAAAGTTTTGTAAAGATGGTAGTGGAACATGTATTTAGATACACAGAAGAGTCAGGTATAGTTATATAACTACTGTTTATATATGTTCAGTAAGAACTAATTGTGTAAATGTACACGTACTGATTATGTCAAAGGAACAAAAAAAATCACTTTGCTATAGCACTAAATTGTGCGTTACAGAGGACATCTGGGGTTTTTTTTCCTCCTATCCTTATGTTTCTATTTATATTTTCCTTATATTTGACTACAAAATTGAGTAAATTTGTTTTCAAATATATTATTGTAGAATGTCATCGTGCTTCAGCATGATGCTGCTCTACTTTATGCTCTTGACCCAAGAGATGACTACTCAGTGGAATGCCTGTAAATCCAAATAATATATTTTTAAAAAGTGTTTGCAGGAACTGCATTTTTCCTGCCACCCTACTTTTTCCCTTCATCTTTTTCTATTTTTCACAATTTTCCTAATTTCCTGATCTTTACCGCTGTGGGAGGCTTAAGAGCCCCAAATAAGTAACAAGGGCAATTGGCTGTGAAGAGGCAGCAGTGGTGCTGAAAATATATTAAGAAACCAAACCAAAATTATCTGTTGCAGTAATTCTGAATAGTAATTGAATAATCTTCTGAAAGAAGAGAGATAACTAAATTGAGGGCATTGCCTTGTATGAATTATATTTAAAGGGGAAAAAAAAAAAAGAGCTCTCACATTTAAAACCTGAGCTTAAGCCTTCAACAATCTCTGGTTAAATAATCAGTGTGTGGTCCCTTCTTCAGAAAAACAGAATCATTTCGGTAATTGCCTAATTCTTTGGGGACAGCAGGCACGCTTATTTCAGCTTCAGTTAAAAACTGCCACCCTGTTGGAAAGAACATTGGTCTTGTAGCCAGCGAAAGCCCATCAATGTAATCGACTTTGCTCACACTGGTGTTAGCCAGCTTAACTAAAAGTACGTGGGGTGAGTTAATGTTTCCAAGGCTTTGTGTTAGTTCTCTTTTGACTTCACTGAGAATTGCATTTCTCTGCACTGAACAGCTGCTTCAATCCTAAAAGAATCTTGGTTTTTGAGGAAAAGAAATCTATCATGTAAGGTGAAATTAAAGAGTGCTAAAAGTGATTGTTTGCCAGCAATGCTCATTAAGTCTTACTCAGCAATTTTACATCTACTGTTCTTCTGCCATTCCTAGCAGTGGCACTTGGGAGAAGTTCAGACCTGGCAGCTCCAGGTTCCCCACTAGCAATCTAGCAGAACAGGAGGGCTCCGTGCAGCTTCCACACCACATTGGAATGGGTCTCTTGGCGTCTTGCTCCGAGTTTGAGAGGCTCTGCTGTGTTAATCTAAATAGCTTTGTCCAAACCAAATTGCTTCATGCTCCTGCTTTGGTATCTAGTCTTCTTCCTAGATTGCCTCTCTGTAGTAAGCGTTGTAGTTATCTAGCTTACATCAGTGCTGTAATACCCATTCTATGTGCATGTTGACTACTAAAATATTTAATGTTTGTGGGTTATAGATAAAGGTTTTATCAACTGGAGATGTGTTGCTCAACTTCTCTCTTGCATTTCCCATGTAGTATCTTAACATTGAAAACGATAACCTGGCTGAGGTAAGCACAATCACAAGCCCTGAAACCAAGCCAACAGAGATGCACAACAGCTGTAATTACTACAGCTTGTTACCCAACATGAGAAAAGATGTTAACTGCAGTCCAGATTTCATGGATAGTATTGACGGCCCCTTTTCCAGCATTTTGCCACCAGAAGACACCAGCCAGCCGAGTGTGAACTCTATAAATGACACATCCCCTTCAAACTCCGATTTCTGTGAGGATTTCTACACCACCTTTATTGATACAAAGGCGAACGGTGTCACGGCAACGACAAACACTATCAGCCAGTCACTCGCAGAAATTCTAAGCGAACCTATTGATCTTTCTGATTTCTCACTGTGTAAAGCTTTCAACGGCAGCCACTCAGGAACTGCACCAGAATGTAATGACTCTGATTCTGGTATTTCACTGAATGCGAGTTCTAGTGTAGCATCACCTGAACACTCTGTTGAGTCATCTGCCTGTGGAGATAAGACTTTTGGTTGTAGTGATTCTGAAATGGAGGACATGGATAGTACTCCTGGAAATGTGCCGCAGAGTGATGTTAGCGCGTACCCACTGCAGTTCCAGGACCCAGTATTTCCCTCCGTGGGGCCAAGCACTCAAACACCTAGTTTGGCGTGTACAAACACACCAAAGAAAGAACCCCCTGCCAGTCCGGGCCACCCCAAAGCTCCATTCACAAAAGATAAGCCTTCAAGCCGCCTTGAGGCTCATCTCACAACAGATGAGCAAAGAGCAAAAGCTCTGCAGATCCCTTTTCCTGTTGAAAAAATCATCAATCTCCCCGTCGATGACTTTCATGAAATGATGTCTAAGGAGCAGTTCAATGAAGCCCAGCTTGCGCTTATTCGAGATATACGCAGGAGAGGCAAGAACAAAGTGGCTGCTCAAAATTGCCGTAAAAGAAAACTGGAAAATATAGTGGAACTGAAGCAAGACTTGAGTAACCTAAAAGATGAGAAAGAGAAATTGCTTAAAGAAAAAGGAGAGCATGACAAAAGCCTTCGTCAAATGAAACAGCAACTAACCACCTTATACCTTGAGGTCTTCAGCATGCTACGTGATGAAGATGGAAAGTCTTACTCCCCTAGTGAGTACTCACTGCAGCAAACTAGAGATGGCAACGTCTTCCTTGTTCCTAAAAGCAAGAAGTCAGAGACTAAACTTTGAAGGGCAGCACAGCTGGCTACTGTTCTCCGAGTCACTATTTTTGTATCATTATCCTGATAGTTTTTACTGTGAGGTGGAATGCAGAATTAGGTAATATTTTTCAAGTAATTCTATGCAATGATAATTTTAAAGTTAATAATTAGTTTGTGGAAGATGCAAGTGTAAAACTAATCATGTAATGCAGATGGATGTATGCAAAATTTGTAATCTCACTTTTATAACAGACATTTCCTTCTTGTAGCACTGCTTTGCCTAGTTTCCATATACATGTAAATATTTAAAGATACCATATTTATATACTGTTCCTATCTCTTGTTATATTCATAGATTTATTTGATATATATATATATACATGATTTTAGCCTTCTAAATATAATTTCTTGCAAGACAAACAGTGTGGCTTCTGATACTTTTTTATAAATAAGCAATAGTGTTTGTTTCCCATTTTTCGTACACATTTATACTTGCTTTATATTTAATACGATTTTAACTTAGTCTTTGATTTTGATTTATCAGTTCATTAAACTTTTTTTTTAACTCTACTTCATACACATTTATTTCCCTAAAGAAGGGAAATCCTCCTTAGTTTTCCAAGGCTGTTGGAAAATACTCAGAGATGTATTGCACAGCACTGTCAGCGTTACTAATGCTTCGTTCAGCATCATTTTAACTGCCCCGTGGAAGGACTGTGTAACAAAGTTAAGTTTCTAGTCTCTGTAAAGTCTACATAACTTTTGTTTCGCTCTTTTAACACTACATAGATCTTTCCTCCAAAGTCATTTAAAATCTGTTAATTAAGACATTGGCAGCTTTATGCATTTCTCCAGCTAAAAATTCTGTACACTTTTGAGTAATTGTTCTTGAAATGCAGTACGTCTCTGGCTCCGAGCAGCGGGCAGTGGTGATCACTCTGGAGCTTATGGACAAAGGCGTATTAACTGCCAACCAGCTGCACTATTGGGAACCTGTGCTCAACTAATTGAAAAGGGGTGTGGAGTTCCACTTAGGATTTATCAGAGAATAAAAACTGGGCAAATAAATAGCACCTCAAATAGATTTGATTACTGGGGGTTTTTTGAATACAGAAGATGCATAATTTGTAACTTGAAATACACATTGATATAATATAATCTTCCTTCATCTTCCCTATGAAACTTCTCATAGTTTCTTCTAAACTAATAGTGCTAACACTGAGCACTAGTGTCAGAAAAAAACATTTTGGATTAAATGTGCCTTTATCATTTTAGGAATATTTTTTCTATTACAATATTTTTATGCATAACTTCATTTAGTATAATGAACACCATGTTGTTTTGCAACATTTTTTAAAAAGAAGGAACTGGAGATACTGAAAGAGGGTAGAGTAGGACCCACAAAGACCATTTAATAATGTTGTAGGAGAAAGGGCTTGAAGAGGGACAACAGATTGGGAAGCCACCCTTCCGTTAGCTCGTTATTCACAGTGTGAATAATGAGCTAACCACAAGCCTTGAGGTTTGTATTTCCTTAACTGTTTAACCACGCTGGAGTTGCATATCCAGCAGAAAGCATCTCATCTCTGTCATTTTTTATGGACCTTCTGAGTGTCCTCAGAAAACAACAAAAAAAAAGTGCAAAGAGGCAGGCAGGGGAAGGGGACTAGTACAGGAAGCCACAGTTCTCACCAGTATTACTGTCATGAGATGCTACAGAAGGTCTGTTTTCAACTGTTCTATGCTGTTTGCTGCCTTCATATAACTCTCCAGTGACTCCAAGCCCCTGAATAGCCTTAGCTACTTTGGAGCCTCCTGTTACACAGGTACCAGTTTTGGTTTTCCCTGTATGCACGGAATTTCAGATGCTCTTTTATTGTCCAGTTGGTCCTAGTAGTATCAGTGTAACTCTGCACAATCACTTTCGTTTTTATTACCCAAAATAATTTTGTATTTCCAATCTTTGTCACCTTGTCATTCATCTTTCAGGATGGGACTATCCCATGCTCCAGCTCAGCCTACTTTAAGAGAAAAGTAACAGTTTCCCACAACTTCTCACACTGTTACTTGCTTCATAAGTTCAGGTGAGGTCCTGCCCCACAAAATGTTTGTATCTAAAGTAGCAGATGGAGCAAAGTAATTAAAAAACCCTGTAGCCTCTGATTTCCAACATCCCTGGAAATGCTAGGAACCCTGCCTGTTACATCAAGTAGTAACATTTGTGTTTTGCATTAGACATTGGTAAATGTAAATCCAGGTGACGCGGGGGAGGCTGCTTACCTTGTTTATACTGACCTCCCTTGTCAGTCCATCCCACTGCATAGTCCTTGACATACTCTGAATGCAGAACGCTCCTCTTTTTGGGGCAAATGGTCACTACCAGTGGTTGAAAAACTAGAGTCTGGATTTGCTGGATGAAGCGGGTTTATCTGCTCTAGGTAGGGCAGCCCAGCACCAGCTAAAGATGTTGCAAGAGTGAGAGATATTTTTCTTGCTGCTGTTCAAATACACCTCTTGTGACTGCCACCAGCACCACCTAGTAAGGAAAACACCTCTAACGGTCACCAAGCCTAGGGGAATGCAAGACACCGCTGCCACTGAAAGCAAGAGGATCTAATCCATGTTCAAGGATGGCAGTTTCAGAACACGAGCGTTAAGGAGGAGAGCACACCAAGCTATGGCCCAGGACAGTCAGCACTGATGTACAGTAGCTCAAATACACCGGTGGGTCTGCTGGCAAAGCACAGAGAACCTAAAGAGGAAGAGCTCCTGGGTTCCCCCTGCTATTAACTAGGCTATTAAATGTCTGACTTACAGAGAAAACATTCTTTCCAGCAGAAATACTTTAGTTATGAATTGGCTCAAACACAGAGACCCCACTAAACCCATGCCCTGCCCTTCAGTTTGTTTCGTATTTGAGCACTGATGCGAAAGCCGAAGGCAAACAGCATCCTTACAGCCTTTGCAGGGGCCCTTGTATTTGTACTGCCCACAAGTCTAAAGCCTGGTGCAGGGATACTTACTCCATTACCAAGAGGAAAAGAGCAACAACACAAAACCTGCAGCTAGTGCAGAAGCCTTGTTGGAATTCCACCAGGCAAAGAAGCAGCCTGAAATAACCTGGACCACAACTCAGTTTAGAGCAGTATTTTTCATATCATGAAGACGGTGAACCTTCCACTCGCATCGAAACACCCAACATCATTAAAAGAAATATTCCACATTCATATGATGGTACATGTGAAAAAACCAGACTGCAAATTATATCCTTCAGTTTATTATTATTACTGAGGTACAGAGTATGTTCCCAAACCTGAGAGCGACTGGTGATGTTGCCAAGTCTAGCACATCACAATGCTGACCTCATACACTGACACGTCTCCACATGGAGGTCATTTATTTTTTGATAAAAAAAAATAATCAGTTTTACAACTATCAGAAGTAAAGCCGAGGAGCTGGGCTGAACCAAGGTTTTCTGACTTGCAGTCCTGAGTTGGAAAGACGACCCTGTAACTTATGTGTTGCATTAACTTAAGACAGTTTTGGATTCCTCACAGCACTAAAAAAAGGTGATAGCAACGCATTTTAGATTGTAAGTCATTTGACAATATACACTTTATTCTGATACAAAATTGAAATATTTTAACAACTTTCAATCCATTATGGACTATACCAAAATTTGTGATTTCCATGCTATTTTTAAACTTGTTTAAGCACAAGTTCTAAGATTTCATCATGCTAGCACCATTGCTCTTGAAGTCTTTGCCAGTTATTTTAACATATTATTCTGTTTCCAATCTTGCGATATTATCTTCTACATGAAGACCATTTTTCTTCTACGAAGATAGTTGGATTACTTTAGTTCAGGAAAAAGCTAATCTTAGACAGAGATGTCAACCTGTAGCACCCACAGCAGAAAAAGAATCATCCATCAGATATCTGAATTTTAGTGATACTCAAGATCTTTCATGCTCCACACAATTTAAGATACAAACACTTGTCAGAGACCACAGACTGATGCTTAAGTGAATTTTCCACCGCAGTGTAGACAGTGTATGAAAACACGTTAATGTCTTAAACACAGGAACCAAAGACAGCAAGTCAGTACATCACACAATCAATGTTTGAAAGACTAGGAGCATTCCCCTTCCCACCTTCAATATTTAAAGGATGTCAAAGTTAAGATGCTGTGTTTAATTTCAGTCTTCTATAACAACAAAACACTTACCACATCTGCATCAACCTGGGCCCCTTTTGGGGAAATACATTTTTACTACCTGGAAGTACCGTTTGCTTTTAGATTAACACGGAGGTTTAGGTATCAAATAAACTTCCGCAGACCCGCAGCTTAGGGACCAGTGCTTTGTTAATGTCACATCTTAACATCTCCTTCTCCATTCACAGCTGCTGTTTTCAATAGCAGCCACTATAAAAAACCTCACCGTGAAACAATATTCTTAACTCTTGGAAGTGCCTCTTGAACAAAGACACGCTTGAGCGAGTACTCCTTAAGGATGTGTTCAGCTTTGACAAGGTTTATTTCTGAACAAATCGGGGTATGAATAATTTAAATTAAGCAAATCAGTCTAACAAGAGTGTTATAAATCGAAGTGTGAAAATAATTCTAACAGTGAATATCTCGTCCTATACGTGGTGCAAAAAGGCACCTCCAGAGCACAGAACAAGTCTGCAGCAACGCAGAATCCTTCAGTGTTAAGGAAAGGAACTTTGCTCTATTCACAGGCCTAGTAATGGGATGCAAACTAGGAACTTTTTGTTAAACAAACCCACTTCTATTTAAAACATTTTTCAAGATTTTACTGTTAGAAAATTAAAACATTCCCCCTCCCTCAAAGTACAAAAGCATTTGCCCTCAGCTGAGTCACGGTGAGACACACTTGTGCTTCTCCCCATTACCTGCTGCAACACACAGGTGCCTAGGTGAGCTCACATGAGGGACTCTGCCGAGCAGAGGAAAAGCAAAGCTTTTCCACCTCTAGCCACAAGAAAGCAAGCTTGTCACCTCAGCAACGAGCTGTCTATCAGCCTACACACTAAGGAGAGACTGTGTAGCAGTTTTAACTACTGCAGCAGTTAAAAATTTTGGCTCAACCTTGGCTAACCAAAAAAGTTTGTCAGAGTGGTTTTTTTTTTAAACTATATAGAGTCATTGTGAGATTTCCGTTAAGTAGCTCCCAATTATATAAAAAGCTCAACATTACTATTGTAAATTACTTGTAAGTCAACTTTTAATGGCATGTTACAATGTCAAGAGTTTGCTTTCTGGATGTTTACAGACAGCAGGTAAGTTTCAATACCTGCATCAGCCTGTGAACCTGCCTAAGCCCCAGGTTAAACTGAAATGCACAGGTTACATTTGACTATTTTCTGAGTAACTGGAGCATAACCAACACTAAAATAGAAACTGGCGTCACAAAAACAATAGACTCAAAAATGTACTGGTAAGTTTAAATGGGTACTGGACTACTATATAAAAGGAGTTTAAACTATCCCAGACCTGTAGCAATTGAAGATGCAGAAAAGGAAAGACATGTTCCAAGAGTTAAGAACCAAGGTGCCCAACAGATTACATGGGAAGTTCTTCTGCCGCCATCCATCTGTATAAACAGCTTGTGCTGTCAGCTCAGCGACAGTGGCAGCCTCCACCAACACACCCTGCCTGAAAGCACCTACAATCTGACAGGGAACTCTGATTTGTACAGGTAAATACAAACCCACCTGGTACCGCAGCAGCAGCGTATCACACACTACTGAGAACTGCGATCAACCGCTCCAGTGCCTTCACCTTTCTGGGCTTCTGTGAGGCGTCTCTTTCTAGCACAAGGCAATGAACCATTTCCCAACCCCCCCAGGACCCTCCCCACAGGAACTAGAGCACGTAATTCCAAACATTTACCATTTCTGTCTTGTTGATCTCAGACACACAGCAGTTTTGCACCTTCCAGGCACGGAAGATTCTTGAATAGCAATTATGCCAGCAAGCAACCCTCACCCAGAAGGGGAAACACTGGATGACACATGCTGGAATACTTGCTCCTTAATGCCTAAGGCTTTCCTCGATATTAAAAGGCTGGCAAAGGAAAGCCTAGAAGGAAATAAGGGTTAAACAAGTGTTTTACTATACACTACAAATCTTACCCAGTCAGAAACCTTCAACTGAAGAGGATGTGCAAGACATTCCCCATTTTGTCAAGCAGCAGCTTCTCATTCAACCTGAAAATTAAAGAAATTACTCTTACCTTGTTTAAAAACCTCCCAGTACTGTTTTTAATTCATGAAAAATTTTAAAGGCAAACCTTACCTATGCTCATTGCCCTTCCTTTCAGGTCTAAATGCTAGACCTATTGATTTTGAGTCAACTCAAGTAGCTATCACTCAAGGAGGTTCCAAAAGGTGAAGAACTCTTGCTAGACTTTCTTCGATATTTCAGCTGTGACAAGCAGATTTAACTAGCCTTTGGAAAGCTGCTCACTATCAGCACAGTATCTTATGCCTTCACTTTTCTGGAAGTTGAAGCTGTTGCTCCTGCTGCCTCGTCATTCTTTAATTATGCTGACTTCTCCATACTCAATAGGCTGCTGAAGTCCTGTCTTATGAGTCTCCTTAGCAAAGTATGGATCAAAGAAGTACATCCTAGGTTCTTTAAAGCTGGTTAATCACTGTCCTCACGGCTTACGCTTTTCCACGTCACAAACAACAGCTATGCTACCCCCCCCGCCTACAAAGCAGTCACTTACATCCATCTCTTACAAAGCTGCATACAGATCTTGTTCATAAAGTTTATTATGACACTATTGTTCAAAGTTAACATGGTTGTCACAGTACAGCTACAAGAGGCCCTGTTAAAAAGAACACTGTCAATACATTCTAAAAAAATTTAGAAATACCAGATCAATCGTCAACCCCATCCTCCAGTTGTCCCTGCAATCAGATGCAGGCCCCAGGTACAAGTCTACACATCATCTAAGCGTAGTAAGGTACAAAGCAAGTCGGTAGTTAGGTGGCTCACTCCCTAGTGAGTTGTGTTTTAGTTGTCAATGGTTTCAAACTCCAAATGGGTTGTTTAAAAAACGCCTTTATTGAAATACAACCTCCCCCCCACCCCAAGCCCAAATTAGTATGTACAACAACAGAAGCGTTCACTAAATCACCAGTTCTTGCTTTAACTTTAGAGATATTTTAAAACTCCACAGAAAAGAATAAGCAGACTTTGAAATCCAGTTTGGAGGCTACCATCTTGACACCAGTTCCTTGTTTTAGTGTACTGCAGTCTAAATACACTCCAATAACAGTGTTTAAATAACATTGTTTAATTTTTTTTTTTCAAACAACACACTCATTTTTCTACTACTTAAAATTGTAATTCATTCTTAATATAACTGATTATGCCTTGAGCCATTTCATACATCTTTGCAGATTCATTCCTACACTGGAATCGCATTTACCTTATCCTGCACATTGACCCAGCAGTGAAACAGGTGTGAGTAATTCCAATACCATATTGTCAAGTGTCTGAATATTTCTTCTATTGACTGGGTCCCTACTCTTCCGAGTCTGAATTGACAGAAAGCACTGTCCTGGCAACAGTCGAGAGAGAATTCGCATCAGCTGAGGAAAGGACAGACTGCAGTGCCTTAATTTGGAGGTCAGGAGTGAGAATGAAGTACAATTTCTAGCCATATGTGCTGGTAAGATTTGCTACTCCAGTGCATCAAATCAAAATGTAACACACTAGCATTCTACCTGCGGAAACTCACGACTGTACCATTCTACATTGTGGGAAGTGTTTCTCGTCAGGAAAACACAACTGGATCGTGTTTTATCTTCGAGCTCTCAGCTGAGCGCAGACATTCGCAAGGGAAAAAGCTTGAGAACTATGCTATCGGTGCCCATCGTGCATGGGCTTTTGGAACGCGTTACCTGGGACTGTCAGTGATTACACCTGCGCTACCCTTGGCTCCCAGTCAGAAGAATGTGTCCAGAAAATTGCCTAGGGTGCATGCAAGAAAGTATATAGCCATTAAGTTATTGAGGAACACACCTAGTACTCTCACTATGACGCCTCGTTTAATTGAAACAGCGCAGTCTGGTGCGAGGGAGAGGGAAATTGGGACAAAGGAAGGGGATGAAAATTCCAAGCCACCCTCCCCAGAGTATAGTTTTATTGAAACAGAATCATTGTATATCCCAAGGAAACAGGCACTTGATTCCCCCCACCTTAACTTCTCGGGAATTACAATAAATATAAAGGTAAAAAGCAAGTTTCTTTTTCTCTTCACCCAAGACTTAAGCAACTGCAGTTATCCCTCATACATCTCAAATGAGACGGGAGACAGCTTTGATGTGTCTAAAGTTGGTCTTGTTAAAATATTTATCATGCCTTATTTTCTTGAAGCGCTAGTACTAATACAGAACTACAAATTAAAAAAATATGCACAAACCAAAAAGTAATTTGAAATTTTCATTAAGGTAAAGCTTAGTTCTATAATTCACAAACACTAATTTGAGTAACTCAATCCTAGTTATACATCTAAACAAACTATAATGCAACATACAGATGTTTTCCCTCTGTATGCCTATGTAACTCATGTCAATGACAGTTACATATATACACTGAGACTAGACCCCTTAAGACTGCAAATCAATAGGTGTTTCTATTGTTAACTTTAAATTAATACAAAATAGTAATTGAGAAATGCATTAATCCTCTCTATTAACTAACAAGGAAACACCCTAAACTACATTTTATTTCTGTTATAGAGTTCTCTGTACTAAATGTGGAAAAACTGAACTACACAAATATTGAAAAGTTAAAAATTCCTTAATTTGTTTATTCCTGGTACCACTACCACAATTTACAGGGCAATATACCTGATGTAATGGGAAAATAAAAAGAAAAAAGAAAGACAAAGCTACAACAGATAAAGACCTCAGGAATGTACATCTAATCGACACTACATTGCATTAATCAATAGCTGCACTTTTTGCAAACTGTGGCTATGACAGTCCTGAACAAGAAGGGTTTCCTGTTTAAGCTGCAGTAACTTTTCTGACTATGGATCATCGTTCCTTCTGTGGCAGATTTTACAGTTCCTCTAATGCATTTGGGACGACTGTCTCAAAGTAACCTGCAGCTTTCCTGACAACTCCTCGCTCTCTCTCCTGCTAAGAACTGTAGCCTGTTGAATACAGGATAAGAAAATTATTACTCTCAGTGAACAGTTGTACATCATTAATCATCATTATAAATATGCATTACACCTACCCTTTTTCTGGTAGCGTTTTTAGAATCTTCTACCACCATAGCCCCCACTGCCACTTCCAGATCCATAACCACCTAAAAAAACAGGGTGTACATTGAAATACAAGAATAACAAGAAATTTTAACCCAAAGAGTATTTTCTGTACAAAATCATATTTACCACCATAGGGACTGCCTGAACTTCTGCCACCAAAGCTGCCACCACCTTTCATGGGACCATAGTTAGACTGCTGTTGTCCACTGTAATTGCCAAAATCATTGTAGTTTCCACTTCCACCATAATTACCTGAAAAAAATACACTTTTATAAAGCCACTTTTGTTCAACACTTAGGATGTGAAGCTTGCCAAATTATGACATCCGATGTAAATGTAAATTGTAATAGTTTAAAACAATTTAAAAGAGAATTAATTGCAAGCATTTTGCATGCTACTCTACTCTCAATGCACCAATGACAGAAGACCCTTAGCATTTTAAAGATTAGAAACTGGTATTTCATTGAAAATTAAAAACATCACACGACATTAGAAAATTTATGCAGATTCAAGTAGGCAATCTGAAGTTAACACAATAGGCCAGCCAAATTTAAGGCCTCCAAACTCAGAAACCATGAGTCTCACTGTCATTCTTCCACTGCTCAAGGCTTTTCATGTTATAAACTACATACAATTTATTTCCTCCAAATAGTTACAGAACTTAATGGGCGTGCTGCATACATGCAGCAGAGGGTATGTTGAAGGATGCAGCAGATTTTGCAGCTTAACTCCCCAAACTTGGGGCAAACAATTAAAAAACTTAGATAAACTTAGATTTAGAGTCCTCACAAAGGAGGATGTGGTCTACATGACGTGAACTGGTATCTAATGGCAACACGGTACTTCAAATGGTCAAAAGGTTCAACTTTCTCCTACTCTACCCCCACACACAGATTCACAGCCCCTGCTTTTCAAAAAATAAGGTCCAGGGAATACAATGTTGTATAGTGTATCAGAGTCGATTTAGATGGAAAAGAACTTTCCTTATGCAACACAGCATTCTACACTAGAGACCTAATCATACAACTAACTTTATGCAGTGTCATACTTCAGGCATTGTACAACTCAGACCTGCCTAAAAAAAAAAAGGGATGTCTAATTAAAGCTGGCATCTTACCACCACCAAAATTTCCTCCTTCATTGTAGCCGTCATATCCTCCTCCTCCACCTCCGTATCCACCACCTGGGTTTCCATATCCTGGTCCTCCACCACCGCCATAACCTCCTCTGCTGCCATAGCCAGGACCACCTCCATAGTTGCCACCTTTGAATAAAAGGGTAAAACTCAACACACCAAAGCTAAATATTGATTAAAAGGTCTATTTAACAAAAAAGCCAACAAAACCACATAAGATGTCCCACAATGTTTACCCTGTATTATATTCATTGTGGTTGCATCATTTATCCAAACTCTTCAATCCAAACAAAAAACCCTGCTAGTCTATGTATATCCTTGAAGCACGATACTTAGAAGTTCATTCTGGCTCACAGAAAATACAGACATGTCAGTATTGTGTATAATCCTCCTTATTCTTCTGAACTGAAACGACTCAGTAGGCAAAGCCCTCAAAAGAATCCTGGTTTACAGTTTTTATCCAGACACACAGCTTCACTGACATGTGTGTCAAGGCTACATTAGACATTATATTTTCTAAACGCATAAAGCGTATGCGAAAGATTTGTTATTCCAGATGCTGATCAGGTCTCCAACATTTTGATGGAGTAGTTCCAAACTGGGAAATAGTTCCAAAGAACTCAACCACTACATGTATCTGCTTATAGAATCCAGACATAAGTAACTACATGGTCCTACCCCATTCCCGACCCCCGAACAAAAACGCTACTTCCACAGTCATTTCGCCATTTCCATAATTCCCTTCAGATGCACTCTGTATATTCATCCAAACTTCCATAATGAAAAAAGGTGCTACTGAGCCATGGAAAGTCTTACAGTTCATTGAAAAGATTTCTGGAACGTTAGTTTGTCATTGCTTTATTCAGTTTTAGTCATCTAAACTGACACCAGAATCTTCATTTAGTTCTCTGTAATCATAAACAGCTGCTGAATGACCTTATGACATGAGGTTATTTAAAGGGTAAATTATTTAAAGCCTTTTAACTCTTCACAGCTCTACAACGTAGAAGACATTATCACCAAAGTAGACATGGTTTCCAAGATGAAGGCGAGACTTACAGCTGATTAGAATGTTGGGGGAAAAAAAAAAGTGACGATACACTTACCATCACCAAATCCATTGTATCCGTCACCACCCCCAAAGCTTCCTCTGCTCCCACCACCGCCACCACCACCCCCATAGCCTCCTGGAACACAAAACAGATGAGAATGTTTTCCTGAACACATGTGTTATGTGTTTAACCCAACTGACACAGGAAATAAAAGCCCCAGAAATAACATTCTATATAAACATTCCAGTCATTTACCTCTTCCACCGAAGTTTCCTCCTCGGCCAAAGTTCCCTCCACCGCCTCCAAAGTTTCCACGACCCATGAAGTTGCCTGAGCCACCCCCACGACCTACAAAATATTTTACTTAAATTACATTAAATGAAAACCATTTACATAAGACAACCATGCACAACTCCAAACTCACCTCTCTGAGAGCTAGCAGTTTGCATCTCTTGTTTTGAGAGTGCTTTTTTCACTTCACAGTTATGTCCATTTATAGTATGATATTTCTGAACTAGAGAAAATTGTGAAATAGAAAAGAATTAGAAAATCAAATCACTGAAAGCAATATGCTGCAAAACCCTCATACAAAGCTACTGTTAGGCATGACCACAACTTTAAAAGGAACATTATGCCAAGCAGCGGATCATACCAACATCTTACATTCCACACACTGCTATTCCAAATTCTCATGTTACACTTTTATCCCGTAAGTCATTTCTCACTGAAGAGTTACATACCAACAATTTTATCAACTGTATCATGATCATCAAAAGTTACAAAAGCGAAGCCTCTTTTCTTTCCGCTTTGCCTGTCTTCCATGACTTCTATGGTTTCAATCTTGCCATATTTTTCAAAGTACTCCCTTAAATTATATTCTTCTGTATCCTCTTTAATTCCACCAACAAATATTTTCTTTACTGTGAGATGTGCTCCAGGCTTTACAGAATCCTACAACGCCAAAAATAACATTCAGTGTTGTAAATGATTAGGCAAAGATTAGGAATAAGGCTAACTGAAACACTAACTTACCTCCCTTGAAACTGCTCTCTTTGGTTCAACCACGCGTCCATCAACTTTATGCGGTCGAGCACTCATGGCAGCATCCACCTCCTCCACACAAGAGTAAGTCACAAAGCCAAAGCCCCTGGAACGCTTTGTTTGTGGGTCTCTCATCACCTGCAAAAACACAGGGGGTGCTCTGCATTTCTGTACTAGATTAAGTACACATATCCTTCCAAAAGCACAAACTAGTATTTGACACTTTACCACACAGTCCGTGAGCGTGCCCCATTTTTCAAAGTGCTCTCTCAAGCTATCATCTGTTGTTTCAAAGCTCAGACCTCCAATGAACAGCTTTCTCAACTGCTCTGGCTCCTTTGGCTCATGGCCCTACAAAATAAAATCAAAAGTGTATTTTGAATACAAACCACAGACTTAAAATTTCAAAGAATTACTATATCTGTGCACATTATAACTACACATAGGTGGAAGATATTTACATAAAAAATGACTTCTAATTGGTTTAGACAGCAGCATAGTAAACCCTTAATGAGGTGTGATTTTAATTAAAACACTAACAACTTAAAGAGTGTTCAAATGCAAACAACAGTGAAGAGATTTTAATATACTCAATAATTTGGCTGCTCCCCATCCCTCCAAAGTGGATTCAAATAATGCCTATCTTATGTTTGAGTTGCATATTGCTCTGTAGGGATTAACAATGAAGCACTGCTAGATAAAGGGAGTTCCAGCATTTTATGAAGCATAATCATGAGGAACTATAAAAAACTTAAGAACACAGTGTACAAGAAAAGAAGGTGATTGTCCAAATCGAGTGTCTAGTCTTTTGGGATACCTATTTTGAAATGTTATTTTAATGCATTTTGAAGAAATGTATCAATTCTTAATTCCTTAAAATTGTGAATTTTGTACTTGGCATAGTTTTCTAAGTTGAGTGCACGCAAGCAAGAAAGTAGAAGTATATACATGGTTTCAGTGTTATGGGAAATACCTCTTAAATGTGAATCAACACAAACTTATTTTTTACAGATAACAAAAAGTCTTGAATACTGACTAATCAATGACTAGTAGTGGGTACAACTACTGGAAGAAGACTGGTAGCATAAGCACTGTAAAACAAGCTTAACTGCAGCCCTTGACAGTATCACCTATGTATGACCAGCCACATTTTAAAATGTGCTAATTTTCAGAGCTCACTCTTCTATAGCACAATTGAAGTGGACTTACAAATGCATTACTGTTTCTGCTCTCTTTCAGCGTCGCATGGTTTGGTTTTTTTTTTTTAGACAGGCAGGGAATATCATCATACATTTGTCAGGAGTTTATGAAAAATTATTTTACAACTTTCTCCCATCCCCAAGACTGCCAGGCAAGTCTTATAAAAAGCAATCAGATTAAAATCTTATTTAGCAAGCTCATACTTTTGTGCACGTAAAACACCCCACAACAAGGTGCTACCCAGCCATGCTGCTGTCTTGCTATGCTGCATATTACTTCAATTCTGCAGCACGAATGCGTAACAGGCTTTACTGTTTCTGCCGCAGTGAGTTAACCCAGACTAGATGCAGCATTAGCCTGAGAGCTGAACGACATAAAATCAGTCCCAGACTTCTACATGTAGATGTCCTGTTTCAAACCTGACGGTGAAGTGCTTTAACCTCTGCCAGTTTAAATAAAGGGGGTGGCAGTGCTAGGATTGATCAGAAAAGCGTACATCCCTTTAGGTGCAACATAACCACTCTGAAGAGCAATGAATATTGTGAAGCAGTACAAGGCAAAAGAGAATTTCCAAATTATATACTGCTTTAGGAAGCCACTGGCTATGATGTTCAGGTTGTACCACGGGAAAAAATGCCCAAGATTGTGAAAAGCTGGCTGTGAAGTAAATCCCTGCTCTTACACCTGCTAAATTTAGTGAGAAAGATCTTCAGCATTCTTGGTAACAACTTTCTATTTAAGGCACTAACTGTTACTACAGGAACATTATATAAATGATTGACAGTTAGTGGTCCTGTGACTACAAAGTAAAACTTCCTTTCCTACAGTCTTCCACGAGGTCTGCACTACAGAAGTATAATTAAAACAATCTCCATTGTAACTATACATACTTAAAATCTTACAGGGAAACACACCTGATGTATATAGAAACTGCTTTAGGTTAAGTTAAATGTTCTTTTCAATTGCTAATTGTGCGTTTGTTTTTTTTTAATCTAACACTGTATTTTTAGCTAGGTTATGTTAAAGCTGGAAGTTTTCAATTGCTAATTGTGCGTTTGTTTGGTTTTTTTTTTAATCTAACACCGTATTTTTAGCTAGGTTATGTTAAAGCTGGAACATTAAATGTTTCAAGATCTCCTACACATATTAAAAGAAATCTATTATATGAAACTGTGGAGTTTAGACTTCTCCAAAATAAAACAAACCTATATAAGGAAAAACTGGACAGACTTTTTACAGTTCTCTGACTCTCCTCAAGGCTATGGGGTTTTCAGTTAGCAACCCAGATTGCTTTTACCTTAAAAGAATGACCACCTGACTCTTCAGGTCACTCCTGAAAGGAAAAGTGAAATCCTCTTCTACTTATTTTTATTATGTGCACATAAACTTCTGTTCTCATATGAGAGGCAAAACATCTGCTGTTACTCTCTATTGGAGAGGAATTATCCTCAAGACACACCTATAAGAACTCTTCACAGAAATAAAAGACAACATTTTTTTAGATAATTAGTTGGCTTTTTTCCAGCATTTTGTTCTCACTGGTGGTAAGCATCTCTAGGGTATCAAGAGTGCTGTCCTCTGTCGCACAAGATAATGTTTCTCAGTCCTTCTGCTGCAAGTCTGTTGGAACAGCAATCTCTCCTGAGCAGCAAGCTTTGCACAAAACGTCTCTCCCTTCCTCCCTCGTGTAACTACCACGCTGTTTCAACAAGATCAGCAGGCTCCCTCCCACTCAGCTGATACTGCAGGCCAGCACGCCATTTTGCGGTGCTCCTTCGGGGGGGGGGTGCGGGGGGGGGCACGGTAAGAATGGCCAGCCTGCCGGCAGCCAGCAAGAAGTTTCATTTCTCACCCTAAGCAGTTTAAGGGGCTTCCCAAACCTATTAATGGGCTCTGAGAAGGTGGGGAACTTTCTTTCCAGCTTTGACTAGTGACTTCTTCCCTCAAACCAAAGCACTACGCAGCACCGACCGCCTCCATTTTGTGAGCGATCTTGCCTCCTCCACCCTCAATATGGAGTCGGAGGGGCGGAGCCAGGGGGGAGCGGGAACGCACGCAGCAGCAGCAGCACCCGCCCCGCCAGCCACGTCCCAGCGCCGCAGCGGCGCCACGGGGGCGGCCCCCGAGGAGGGCAGGGAACGCCTGGGGCCCCCTGCTCACCCTCCCTGCCACCCGGTCCCATGTTCGACCTAAAACCCCCAACGCTCAGCGCAGTCTAACTGTACCGCTTTCCTAAGAGAGGAATTAAAAATGGCAACTAGCACCCCCCAGGATTCCTGTAAAAACCTCATCTTTGCATTAATCTCGAGACCTTTTGACAATGCTGCTGCAGACATGCGCTGCCTTTATTCCAAATGTGCTATAAACTTAGCTTTCCTATGGCAAGGGTTTTGAATAAGCAGCCTTTTGGAGTTGCAGTATTTCTCTCTAAGGGCGCTGTTTTCAGGCAGAGCCTTCCCGTGCACTGTACCCCTACGAACACCAGCAACTGCCCACAAAATGCCTGGCACCAGATCTCCGCTCATCTGCGGCTAAACCTGTGAGACCAGACTGCTCTGTCCCCCAGGCAGGCCCTTCCCAGACTGCCTTCTGAAACTAGAAAGCTTACAGACAACTGGTGCCTCCTCAACTTTCTCCATGAAAAATTTCCTCTATAAACTTAACAGCTTTTAAGCACATTCTAGAGCAAGCTACTTTTGTAAAGGGCAAGAGCTTATTTCCTAGGCAGCAGAGCGACCTGAGTTACATTCTATCCAAAGTCCAGCAGCAGTGAGACAGTTGCAACATTCCTTCCAGAAGGACTTTACACACCATACTTCAAGACAAAATGACCACATGCTACCAGATACATGCAACTCGGACAAGATTTGTTCGTAATTCAAGTGTACAGGCCCTCCCACATTGCAGTAGTGTGTCATTCCAGAAAAAGCCGGTTTGAACTAGCTAAAATATTCAGGCACCCTGGGAAAGTAAAGTTAGATAGCAAACACATCAAAATAAACAATCAGAAAATGTCTCAGTTATAAGCTACAAAAGCATATTTAACACCCTCTTTGCTGATCTTAAAATTGCATTTATTTTCTGAAGGGTATCAAGCCTGTTTATTCCCCCCTCCCATTTCCACACCCTGCCCCAAAGTAACTAGCTCCCATCCTCCCCGAACAGCCCCAACATCTTCTCTATACTACGCACCTTATTCAGTCTACGGTATTTCTGCTAGAAGCAAAAGAAGACAGTTATTTTTACTTAGTACAGCCTTGCTTTCATTTGCAGTGACTATTAGGCAACCATTTTTATTAAAAAAAAAAAAAAAAAAAAAAAGAGAGATAGAGACAAAATTTCATGTCTTGGAAATAAAGCAGAAAATCATATAATGCTTTAGTAGTCTTTGCAATCCTTGCCCATACTAGCAGTGATATATCACTTTACACCTTGCTCTAATCACAAACATACATTTAATCCGTTTTGTTATAACGGAAAACTAGAAAAGCAAAATTTCCCCACTATGCTTAACACCCCACCCCTTAAAACTGTAATAATACACTGCAATTTAAAGTTACTCCGCTAATTCAGGGATAAAGAAGGTGGGAAAAAGCTATGAATTAACACATCAGATAGAAATCGTTACATTATTTTTAATCTTTTCCCCTTAAAGCTACTTTTTAAATTAAAAAAAAGCAATCCTCTCACCTGTGAGGATCGTCTTCCTTTCCTCTTGTAGTCTTCCACATCTCTCTCTTCCTTAAGAGCAGCCATTTTGGAAGGGTACTCTTAACTCGGCCTTTCTTTCAGATCTAGGAAACCTAGAAAACAGGTTGGATAAGTCAGTACTTACCCCAGTCCCTGTGACGCAGGCATTCTCTGGCTGCAATGTACTGACTGTGGCTTCAGGAGGAAATGGGAGAGGGGTGAAAGTAGAAAAAAAAAATTAAGTCTTTCAAAAGGTAAGAGTAAAAATCCTCAGCCCATTTAGCTCATGATTAAGAAGAGCTGCAGAAGGACCATCTATCCTAGGAAAGGTCTTTTTGTAACTGCTGGAATAACCAGGTACAACCTAAGGCTGAAATCTGCAGAAAACAACCTATGTTGACCATTGTTTTAACATACCTATTATGAATACAATGGTACAGGGCAAGCAAATTCCACCTTTGATACCCAAACCCACTACATAAATAAAATTCTACTTCTCTAGATTTTAACCCCCAAAATAGTTAACATCTTGCAAATACTGTTTATTAGAATTATCTTATGTGTAGCCTATTCTAATCAGTGATCCAGCAGCCTACAAAACTGGAACACTGGAGGATGTGCTAAATGTTTTCTGCATCGAAAAATATTTTTCAGTAACAGCAGTGCAAGAATCCTTTACTGATTCCACTCTTGCAACATCAGAAATTTTAACATTTGATCCTCAGCAATCTGTAGCACTAGCCATCTGCATTACTTTTGCTTCCAAGTGACATACTTGATTACTACCGTGTACCCTCTATTTACTATGTCCAACTTTTCAAAATAAATGTTGAAAGTTATGTACGTATCATTACAAAAATCAAGTATTTCATAAGATAAGCTCAGTGAATGAACCCATATCTAAGCATTTAAACAAAAACATCACGTTTTCTTTAGCCCTTATTATTTGATGTTTTCCGAGATCATTAAGCTTACTATACCATATTAGTATCTTTGGCTACAATTCATCACTACTTTGGATGTTTCTTGAAACTTAAAATACTATCAACTAAATAACACGCTTCTGTAAAACTGTATTTGTGCAGCATTAAAATCATTGATATTTACCAGATTAGGCGTACTTTTGTGGGTTTTTTGTTTGTTTGGGTGGCAGGGTATTTTAGTTTTATTCCTGCAAATACTGCATAGGGAAAGGCAGGCAGGTTTCTACTAATGACCAATATGAACTTTTATTCAGAGTGGAAATTATTATTTAATATAATTCCATGTTAAAATCCAGCTTCAAATTAAACTCAACTGTGAAATCATGAGTACCATGGTTTAATGTATTAACAGTTTTAAAGGTTTTATGAGGTAACATCAAACCATTTGTGTTATCTTCAGTTTCTCTCCACACAATGTTAAACCCGCTCTTGACATCCTTTAAATCAAATATCAGATTGACTCAGGAGGTATTAGGATACTAAATTCAATTCCTTAAGTCATACAGGGGAGGAATGAAACAGAACATTAACAATTCAAGGGCTTTTAAAAAAAGGTAGCTGTATGGCAAAATAAAACTTTGGGAATTGTTAGGAAGGAATGGGCTAAGCCTATTTAAATACTTTTTTCAAGTAACAAAAAGTATGCAATTCCTCCCTGATTCTGTCACCTGCTGCTTCCTCCACGCTGGCCCACACAAAGCTCTCAGGCATGGTCTCTACCACAATGGCCTCCTAAGGCCATCCCAGTAAAGAGAGTTGTCTTCTTGCTGAAGAACACCATCAGCTGAAGTAGAACAAAACCCTGTTCATCCCTACTCCTGCTCTGCCCCATAGAAAGCTGTTATAAAAAGCTGTCAATTTTAGCTTTTTTTTTTATACTTAACATCAACTATTCAACTCTAAATAAAAATATTCAGAACATTACAATCAGCTGAGTTAAACTAGCACTGAAACAGTTGTACACTACAACTTAACTACTGAGTTGAAAGTAGTCTTGGAACAAATCCGTTCATTATAATAAGAAAGTAATTAGGAGAGGCCTCCTTACTTTAAGAATTCATAATGCTACTGTACCTCTTACAGAGACAAGTAAGACAGTGGAGGCGAAACAGACATTCCCAAGATGGAAGTTTACCTGTCCATTCAGAGAATACTATGGTCTTTTTTGTAAATAGCTAAAGTTGGACCTAACATGCATACAGGATATTGTGACAAACCTAAGAGTTAAAGCAGCAAAACAAGAGATTTGCAGCTCTAAGTGTGTTTGCAGTTTATTCACAATGCCAATAGGAAGGTCTGCTGGGAAAAAATAAAAAGATATTAGCTTAAGAACTTATTTCATGGGTTTCCAAGCTTTACTGAAGCATGTTCAAATGCTTTGTACTCTCATCCCTCCCATTTGTCAAACTATTCAACAACCCTGAAGCAGCTAAAACAATTGCTTACATGGAAAAGAGTTATTTTTAGCCATTTTGCTAAGGGATCTAGTTTCTTCTCTACTTTTAATGTAGGAACAGAACTTGTGAACTGTTGGTTTCTCTGTTCTCAATTTTCCAACGTTTCAGCTTGCAATGAAGGAGCCAAGCAAAAAAAACCCCCAAAAACCCCCAAAACCCTGCACCATTTTTGTTTACCATATTTTACTTGAAAAATTTGCACAAAAAAACCTGAGGTTTTGAGAAGGGAAGAAAAGCTGGGGGGTACTTCTCCCCTGGGAAGGGTGTGCAAGATTGCCCCAGTGTGCATCTGATCTCAACTTCATTCAAGTTGAGGAAAATTTGAACCAAGGTTTGTGCAGGACTGCTCCATGTTACCCACCAGGATCATGGCAGGACACCACCGAATGTGCCTCTTGTGCATGTGTGGCTGGGGCAGCAGAGAAAGGGAAACGGGAAACTATCCGAGAGAGCTTTGCACCATGCCTTCCCCCACCGCCTCCCCGGGCGGCAAACGCTCCCAACGTGCTCACTCCCCTCGGGAAGGGTGTGAGGGATATTAGGGAGGTGCTGCAACGTGCACCAGCATTCCTCAGCGAGAAGCGGGGTACTACACCAAATGACTTTCATGCTCTAAGAGTCTGTTCCCAGGAAAACGAGTGGGAAAAGAATATTCCTAACGCACTACTCCGGGCAGCTTACATGGGGGGGGCACAAAGGGAGGACAGAACAATGACACACGCACATGTGG